CCCCATCTGTTTAATGGAAGACAGGGGGCTGCTCTGGCCTTTGATGGCTTTGCCCTTGTGGTCACCACTGCTGGACTTCCCAAACTAGTTTCTTACCTTTCTGCTTCTAGTTTATTGACTCAAGACCAGCAGGCTTTCTTACAGGCTAGTCAGTACCCTTCTCTCGTGTGTATTTTTAAAGATTTATTTATATATTATGTGCATATGGGTGTTTGCCAGAAGAGGGCATCAGATCCCCTGGAATTGGAATTGCAGATGGTTGTTAGCTTCCATGTGAGTGCCAGGTCCTCTAGAAGAGCGTCCAGTGCTCTTAACTGCTGATCCATTTTTAAGTAGAAATGGAGACAGAGAATGATGTGGAACTATATAAATAGTATAACACTGGAGAGCCCATGGAGGCAGAGAAAGAGAGAGAGAGAGAGAGAGAGAGAGAGAGAGAGAGATCGATGGTGGTCTTTAGTACTTTCTTGAGAGTGCATGCCTGCCATGACTTGGTTGGATTTTCTGAATGAAGAATAGCCACTTTCTGGCATGAGAAGGTGGCTCAATTGGCTATGCAAGCAGAGAGACCCGAGTTCCATCCTCAGAACCCTTTGTAAAAAAGCCAAGTGTGGTGAAGCACTTGTAATCCAGCTCTGGGGAGGTGAAGACTGGCAAATCCCTGGGGTTCATTGGCTCACCAGCCTGCCCTTAACTGGTAAGCTCCAGGCCAGTGACTCTGTCTCAGAGAAGGAGGATGTCCATTACCCTTCATACACATATGTGGGCATGTACATATGTACCTGCGCACACACATGTACATGAACACATGAACACACACACACACACACACACACACACACACACACACACACACACACACACGTATATGCACACCCACACATGAACATGCAAATCTGAAAGGATACCTTCACACTGATATGGTTTGAGCTGCAAACAAGAGTTCAGAGTTCTGACTCATGCCCACACGTCTTTGCTTCTGTTCAATCCCATCACTATTGCCAAGAGAGGAGCTGGGCCTGCCCCATTCTGTCTCCAAGCAGAGGGTGTAGCCCCCACCAGGTTGGATAGAGTCCAGGTGTTTTCTCTCACTCAGACCCATATCCTCAGTCCCTATTCTTGCTAAATCAGTGAGTGTCCAGCCAGTGGAAGTTGCTGTGCATTTGGTCACAGCTTCATTCCCATGTTTGCTATCAGCAACCGGCAATTTACTATTCTGTGAGCTGTAGTTGCTTATCACATCTGTCCTAGCTCCTGGATTGAGAAGCCTTTCCACAGCTATTTCTGGAGCTGGGCGTGATTTAGTCATTCTCCTTTCCCTCTTTCCCTCAGACTAATTAGTGCTTTTGTTTACAATGGAGTTGAGCAACTGACCCTCACCTTCCCCAGGAGAAGTCTCAATGCTGGTGGCCAGCAGGTAGTGGACACCAAACATCTGGAGAATCCAAGGGTTGCTAGAGAAGACATGTCATAGCTCAAGGACATCACAAGAGACTAGCTTAATCCATGACCTGAGACTTTGCCTGGCTCGTTAAGCAAAATATTCAGGAAGTGAAGTGGTTGGGGATGGGGAGATGTCTCAGTTGGCAAAATGCTTGCCTTGCAGGAAGACCCAAGTTCAATTCCCCAGAACCACATGAAAAGCCAGGGATGGTGTGGTGACACAGAGAAGTGAAGATGGGGGAACTTCTACTGCTGGCTGGCCATCCTGTCCAGCCTAATCTGTGAGTTCCAGGTTTCCCAAAGTAAGATGGACAGGAATGAAGATGAAGATGACCTCGGCACCCCCTACTCCCCATGCAGGTAGGGGCATAATGAGGTCAGTTTGGGTGTGTGTACTGAGGGACAGGTTTTAGAGGGAAGAAAGGTGTCCCATGGGACAGATCACAGAGGAAGGGGACTGTCCCTTGGTGCTGGCTGAACAGAGAGTGTTGTGGTGGAGAAGAAGAGAGGGGAGGGGAGGAGGGGGAGGAGAGGGGAAGAGAGGGGAGGGAGGCATTTTGGCATGGGATAGTCTCTGGGATCCTCAGGTAAGGAGGAAGGATTGCTTTCTTGAAGCTGAAGCTGAAGTCTAGACCCAGCAACCCATAAACATTGGCCTGTTTTTGATGTACAAAGACCAGCTCCTAGCCCAGACCCATCAGCAGGGTACCCTCAGCAGGGAGGCACTGTCACAGTCTTTCATTTGCCTCCCATGTGGATCCTAGCTCATGGGAAACTGTCTGGGTGGGGGCTACCAACCAGAGCTTGGCTGTCCCCCAGCCCTTGTCCCAAGCCTTGACGTCACCAGTCCAGACATCTGGCTGTCAGGTCTGATTGAGCTTATGCTTAGGGGGAACTAACTCTATGCATGTCCATGTCTGCCCAGCCTGCGGCCCTCACACACTGGCTCTTATTCCTGTGCAAAACACAGAACTCCTCAGCACCTCCTAAGTACCACGGTACAACAAGCTGCTCTGGAGAGGATGTGAAGATTAAGAACGTGTGTGGCGGTTGAAGAGATATCTCAATTGGTATAGTGCTTGCCACACAGCTTGAACTCAGGTAAAAAGGAAAGGGCAATGCACACTTGCATCCCAGTGCTGGGAAGGCAGTGACAGGAGGATCTCAGGACTTCACTGACCAGACAGTTTAGCTGAATCTGTGAACCCCTGACTATGAAGAACCTCAGTCTCAAAAAAAAAAAAAGTGTATGGCAAAACCCAAAACAAAGACCTGATACTGTGTACACCTGACTGATGGCAGCCTCTGCTAGAACTAGACAAGCAGATGTTCCTGCAGGGGCTCCTGGGGGGAGCACCCCCTAGCATGCACAAGAAGATCCAATATTCTATTGTGATTTCTTTGCAGGGTTAACAAACTCTGTCACCTTTATGGAGCTCTGTCTCTGTCCGGAAGTCCCAGTTTTTTTTGCATATGTTAGTTGACAGTATTTCTTTCAAGTTCTGTTCTCTAAGCTAAGCTTATTTCTCTTGCCTTGACTGGAATATGCAAGTGAACTGCCCTGTGAGTGCTGAGAATAGAACCAGAGTCCTCTTTATGAGCAGGAAGCTCTTTGACCTGCTGAGCCATCTCTCCATCCCCCAAGGGCAAACTTTAACTGACCAATGACCCTACCTTGACACCTTGTTGTCTTCTCTCATTTCAGTCATTGTGTTACTGGGAGCTCCCACAGGGTCTGGATTAGGGTGACCCCCCATCTGCACCCCTCAATGCCATATTTCCACTCCTACCCTCTTTGAGCCATCCTTCTTGGAAGGAATAACTGTTAAATTTTATGTATTTCAGAAACACTGTTCCCAAGCTTCACTTTTTACTCCTTGCATTTTGAGCACAGCACACGTGACCTTTTCAAATGTGGTGGGTGTCCATGCTAACTTAGGTTATGTCTTAAGTCACATGTGCTGTGTCCTGGGATAGGGTTCACAGAGACGAGGGCTTGAGTGTTCCTGGGAAGGCTCTGGGAGAGTACAGACGTGAGAATGGGAGGAAAGAGAAGCCCATAAAGGGTGGCGTCAGGGGAGGGGACAGAACTGAGCACCTACCAAGCATAGCTACTGGGGCTTGACTGGGCATCAAGTAGGGAGAATGGAGACAATAGGAGATGTTTCAGTCACAGAGAATGAGGAAAGTATTTCACTTTCTCCTCCTTAGTGTCTTTTGACAAGGGACTACTCTAGGGAGCATCCAATCCCTAGTTCCTCTGATTAGAGTCACGGGCATACAGCTGGGTCTGCTTATAGAGGGCTACAGCCTGCTTTTGCCTCAACCTCCATAAGACTCTGAGATGCAATCAAGATTTTAGAGTCTCTGGGATGGAGCGTTGTGCTGGAAATGGTCACTAGGAGACAAATAAAAGCAAGATCATTAGGACATAGGTCTCCTGTCCCCTGGGGTTTCCCATTTCTGTGCTTCCTGCCAACAACAGACCCAGCTCCCCTGCACCTTGCTCCCTTTCCATGGCTTTTGTACAGTTCATAGCTTGAGAAGACACAGCAGTTCTGTTTACCAAAGGTAACATCTTCCAGAGCTTAGATTTACTTATGACTATTACAAAAGATCCAGGTCCCACCAGCTCCAGGGGCCTCCCATGATGCAACCCTCACAGTGTACAAGCAGGTAACCCTGGCTCTGTATGAAACTGGCACACACACACACACACACACACACACACACACACACACACTTGTTTCTGAAGTCTAAGGTCTTGGGTTTCTTTTGGGATCTGGAAAACTGGCTGGCTATGTTACTAGTCTGTACGAAGGGCAGACTCTCAGTGTGTAGTTTTTGACAGTTTTCCTAGACCCGTCAAGTGCCTGGTTGTTGGGTAAATAGAAAAGACTCTTTGGGAGCTACTAATCTGTAAGAAAAATAAGTGAGCTATGCAACTCTGCCTGGCACTTGGCTTTCTGAGTGGGCTTGGGGCATGGAGAAAAGTAAGTCAATGAAGCCTGGTTGAGTGTAGCTTGCCCAGGGTGGTCTTGGATGGTTGATGATGGGCCCAGCACAGAGAGTTGGGAGGGACTGACTGAACCCTGTGGGTCACAGATGCCAGCAACACACCACTATGTTATTACCTTTCTCCCATGTTCTATCCTTTCCTTCTCTGGGACTCACTGTACTGACTCTGTCATCTCTCCCAGCTCACTTTGCACCCAATTTGCCTGGGGGAAATCTTCAGAGAGGCTGTGGCAGTTCCTTGGGCACAGAGTTACTTGTGTGGCTGGGGAGCTGAGTCCAGAGTCTGGAAGAGCCCCCACCCACTCTCCCAGCAGCTGCCAAAGACCACCGGGAACATCTACCAGGGAAAAGATTTATGGCCAAGCCAGGAGGAGCATCTGAAAAGATACCTACACAGTCGTTCTGACGGCAGAATTTACAAGCTCCTCCTTCATTTGCTACTGAGTGGAAAAATACATTGGGCCCAGAACCGTTAGCTCCCTGCCAAGGCCTGTGAGTCACTCCCAAGTCATAAATAACAGGTCCCTCATGACAAAGCAGAGAAGGGAGCCGGGCCCAGGGCCACGTATTTATTAGAAAAGAGAGTGGGACCATTAGTTGGGGGCTTGGTTTCCGGGAAACTCTCAACCACTCCTCACTCAAGGTCAAGAGGCCCTTCTACAGGGATTCTGATCTGACATTTGTCTCCAGAACTCTAACCTCTCATGGGGAGCTGAGGCCAGCCAGCAGAGGCATCCCCTGGCCACCCAGTTCCATGGGCTAAGAGGAAGCATTCTTGTCGAGGTCCTGGGGGCCTCTGCCCACTGATCTGCTCCTGTCCATGTGGAGTTGGTAGTGTCTCAGTGGCCACCGTGTTGTATGTATCAGGAAACATTGAGTACCTTCAAGTATGACCTCTGACAATTCTCTCTCCACTCCTCCCCGAAAAGCATGTGCTTCTACAAGCCTCCAGGGCAGCCATGGGAAGGGTGTGGAGGAAGCAGATGTAGCCACGGTGCAAGGCATTCATTAGGTGCTACTCAAGTTGGCAAGAGTACGGGCAAAGGCAGAGAAGGGCTTTCCTTGTGACAGGCTCTCTCCTTGTCTCTCTCCATCTCTGGGGGTGCAGGAGAGAATCCAAATGATAAAACATCCAGAAGGGGACCATAAATCACCCACAGATTGTCGACGATACCTTCTGTGTTAGAATGAAACACAGCTGGGGTGATTGAAACTCTGAACCAATCCTCTGTCTTGAACTTGCCCCTGCATCCGACAGCAGCAGCTCTCCGGTGACTTGGGCCAGAAACAGGGTTGTTGAGGTTTCTATCCCACTTTTCTCCATACTCTGCAGCAGGGACCAAAGCCTATGTCCGCCCGTCTTTTCATCTCCATCTTCTTCCCCATGCCTAACACCTCCCCCTCCCCCGGCACCACGGTGCTGGCTCAGGGCCCGCCACTATTCACAGTCCCTTCATTTCCACCTCTCCTGCAGCCTCCTCTCGCTTTCTGATAAGGCTCCTTCTGAAGCAGCCTCAGACCCCGCTGGGGTCCAGGCTGGCCCTTTACCATGCACTTTCTCAGAGCCACCCGGCTGTGCCAATTACTCACCCCAGCCCCATCTTGAAGACTGTGCAACCTTCACTTGTCCTGCAGGTCTGTGTACTATTCCTCAAGGCTGCCCTGCCTGTCCAGATCCTGACCTGCTGATGACACTGGGGAGAGCTAAAGGAGTGAAGCGTGAATGGCCAGAGGAATGAATGGAACCATGAATCAGTCTTGCTTTTGTGACAACCCTTGACACACACAGGATTGCATGCTGAGACTGCTTCCCTGCTCTGAACTCTGCCCCATTTTCATTGCCTTCTTTTTGGCTTCCAAAGCCAAAGGCCTTAACCACTTGCCTCAACCATGGATGATTAACAGAAGCTGCATGCGTGGATCGGCATGGAATCTCTACCACCTTAGCTCTTGGGGTGCTTTTCTATGCTCTTCCACCCTGATCATCTCAGGCCCCCAGTGAGAGTAGGAACATGGAGTGACATGGATCCCCAGGGTCCTGGTTCTGAGATGTGGAGGCCATAAGGACCCTTTCCTGCTGGGTTTTCTTGTACCCTGTAATCACAGAACCTGAGCCTTTAGACAGAATACCAAGTCAGATTTGCATAGTCTCCTGGGAACTCTGACTCAATATCTTTACCAAGCTGAAATCTTCAGAGACAAGGGCCTGATCCACATTCCTCAGTGTTCATGGCAGAGGCAGACCCAGAATTGCAGACTCCTAATACCTACTCCAGGACCCCCCAGTGAGCCCTTCCACTCGCTGGTATCTTACCACTGTGGTATCTCTTGTCACCACTGTCTCTCTTGTTAGTGTCCCTAGCACCACAGGCCGGTTCAGCTGATTCTCCCACAGCTCCGAAGCCCCTCTTCCCCCTTGTGCCAGTGTTGCTGCTGCTCTTTGTGGATGATGCTCTGCCTTGTTCTTGGCAGGGAACAAATGACCTCAAGTTCAGGGAAGACAGATTTGGGTAATAGAATGTCAAGATTCAGAATTAACTTGAGCCTGACTCATGACAGAAGTCACTGCATTGTGCTGGGCCTACAAGCTTTGCCACCAGGTTCTCAGGATCCCCTTGAGGAAGACTTTCAGGAAGTGGCCCACACCTGGGAAGACTCAGGGTTGTGATGGCTGGGAGAAGAGGGGGAGCAGGGGAGGGGGTCTTATGAACTGGGGCTGAAGCGCCACCATGTGGGCTTGGGAAGTGGACCCCCACCCTACATGTTAACCTCAGGTAGACAGGGTAGGGGTTATTCTGATTGGCCCTTGGGCCACAGCCAGTGGGGTGGAGGCTTTAGCCCTGTTTGCTGCAGGCTCCAGGTAGACATTACTTCCTTGAATAGCCTTCAGCAACAGGCTTTCAAAACACCATTGCTCCAGACCATGCTATGGGTTAAGTGTTCCTGTTGTCATTTAATTACTACTGTGACAGGTTTAAGATGTGGGAGAGAGTCAGGTCATGGTTAGTGTCATTATGCTGAGAACTGTGGAACTGTTCCTTTGCTGGATGGAGAGTTGTCAGTGTCCCCATATCATGCCCCGTCCCCCAGTGCCTGGAACATGGAGGGCTATACCTGTGACACAGCTTTGACAGATGCTAGCACCTTAGTCTGGAACTCTCCTGTCTCCAGACAGAAGGGGACTCCATCATCTGTAGATGATCCATTCTCAAGGGATTCTGCCATAGCAACAGAAAACAGAACAAAAACCCTGAATCCACATCCTGGAGATCAACAGTGCCCAGTGAGAGGTTAGACCAGCATCCCAGTTGCTCCTCCCAGTCTGTCTGGCAGAGGTTTGAGTGCAGTCTGAGGCAACAGTGATGAGGTGAACAGGGCCTTGAGGCAGGTGGTCACAGTGCCTCTGCTCATTACAAGCCTGCAGATGCCACTTGGGGAAGTCTCAGGCTTGGAAACAAGTTAGGACTGCTTCTCTCTCTCTCTCTCTCTCTCTCTCTCTCTCTCTCTCTCTCTCTCTCTCTCTCTCTCCCTCTCTCTCTCTCTCTCTCTCTCTCTCTCTCTCTGTGTGTGTGTGTGTGTGTGTATGTGTGCCTCTTAAAATTCTTTTCGGTCAAGGCCTTTCACGTCCTGGAGCTATGGAGACCCTCCTGTCTCTGCCTTAGTGTCACCATGCTTGGCACATCATGTGAGCTCTGGGGATTGAACTTGGGGCCTCATGCTTGCAAGCCAAGCACTTATCCACCCACTAAACCATTTCTCCAGCCCAAGACTTTCAGGTTTTAGCCACATTTCCTGCCTCTACCTATCTTCTCACGGTTTTCCAGATTGTTTCTAACTCTAATCTATCACCATAATTCAGATTCTTACTCATTCTGTTTTGTCCTGTCCATGGTACCTGGAAGTACCAACTTCCTGCCTCATCTCTTCCTTCATCCCTTGGATAATTCCTTCTCCAGAACCCACTCATCTAGCAAACATTTAACGATTATAGGACAAAGCACCAAGCACTTGTGAGACAAAGCACTGAGCACTGATCAGGTGCTTGGAGAAATTTAGCTGATTCAGGCTCAGTTCCCTGGGTAACTAATCCTCCACACCTAGTTCACTCACAACCTTGAGCAAACCACCTCCCCATTTCTGGCCTCAACTTTTTAATCTGTTCAATGAGGCAGCTGGGCCAATGGGGGCTCTGACACAGCCTGGGTGGCAGCAAGGCCAAGGTTCAAGGTCATGGCCCCACATTCTCCCACTGGCTTGCTTTACTCTCCCCAGCCGGGAGGAACATCCTGAACAGCGTTAAGAATAATAAACATGGGCTGATAAACATCAATAGGCCTGGCTGGTGCCAAAAGGAAAAGAGAGAAGACTGTGCTGTGCTGGCTCCCGCTCCTGGGACCGCGCAGTGGCTAGACAGCCGGCCGGCTCCCCTGGCCACACCCCAGGCCAGGGCAGGCAGAGGCCAGGCCAGGGCCAGGAAGTGGCCACCACCAGGTCCTCAGCTACAGGCCAACCCAGTTCAGGACCTCCCTTTGGTTGGGCTCTTAAGGCATCACCCTGCTTGTGGCCTCAGGGGCTCTCCATGGCCCATGAGAAAGAACCTACATACTCCAGCATGATATGAATGAGCCAACTTGGGCCTCAGCCCATTCTGTGACCTCAAGGCCCATCTGATCCCACATGACAGCCACGGAGGGCACCCTGCTGTTCTTTGTGAGCACCAAGCTGTTTATCCTCTGACCTCCTCAAATTCTGGGGAAAACCTGGGCATATCTGGTACCAGAGCTGACAGAGCAGTGCATAGAGCTCAGTAGAACACTCTCATAGATGGAGAAATCCTGAGAGGGGAGAGCTATTACAGATGAGCGGGCTCTGGGCTGCTCAGAGCACGTGTGGTGCCTGGTACCAGGCAGCCTGGGTTTAAAATCTGTCTGTCACTTTGCAATGTAGCCTTAGGCAAATGGCAAATGACTGAATCTCTCTGTGTCCCAGTTGTCAGCAAAATGAAAACAATATGAATAATAGTAATAACAATGTCTGCCTTTCTAGGTTCCTTACAGGACTGCATGGGCTGACTCTTGTGGGGTGTTTGGAAGGGGACAGCCATGTGTTCTCCAAGGTGCCCATTATTGCTGATCATCACACACTATGACCTATGGCTGCCTCAGATGTCTGTTGAATGGCTAAATGACTCACTCAGCAATAGAGAAAGGACTGTATATAGACTTACCCCCTCTCATGAAACCTGGCCACTGGGCTTATGCAGTGAATGTTTTGTGTAACTAACAGTAAGGCTACAGATCAGGTACCTACCAACGCAGGGTCTGTGTTTCTTGCAAAAGGAATGCAGTGTTGTTCCACAAGGCACTAGTAGGGATAAGAAACTTGGGGACTTGTATTGCCTTGGCATCCCAGAGATGCTGGTAAACTCAGTTTGGTGGCTTTGGGCTAGTGCTGAGCCATGGGCTTCTTAGAGTCAGCAATGGTCTGGAGAAGGAAGAGTGGCCAAGGCAGGAAGTGACCAACCATGACCAGAGCAAACAGTCCCCCATCCTCACATCAATGGGCCTCAAGGATATTTCCCAGAGCTGGCAACCTGGCCAATGAATGAGATTGCATGTCCAAGGGAACCACTGTCCCCAGTCCCCTGGAAGGCTCTCATCATCATCTTCCAGCCTGCCTGATTCCCTGGGGAAGCAGTGTCTCCCTGCTTCTGTCCAATTTTCCATGTGAGATTTCCGGAGACACTGACTGGGTCATGTGACAGGAGACATGGTTTGGGGACTTCATGAATTTCTGAAATTCCTAGCTCTATTTTCAGAAACCTGTTCCCCTGTGCATATCCATTCTGCTCCTAGGCCCAAACATACCCATTTATTATGGGCAACAGGCCCCTTGCCAGTGGAGAATAAAGGTCACTGGCAAATGAATGAATCAGAGTTTTATTAGGTTGATTAACCCGCAGTCTGAGGTCTTTCTTCTGGAGTATGGTTAGCACTCAACCAAAGAGGCCTGATGGGAAATGTACCTCAGTAGCTGGAACACATGGGACACATGGAAGGACATGATGTCCGTACTTGCCTGTAGCCTGTATGTAGGTTGATTGCCTATTGTGTGCTTCCCCAGAGTGACAGGGTACTCTGTGTTGATAACCAGGGACCTCAGAGAAACCCTGAGGCAAACTGTCCCCTGTAGAATCCTTCCAATGGCTCTGTGTGTCTGCAGCTTGTGTTGCCAGTGACTTAGAGATGCGGAGTGTATTTTAGAGGGACAGATTGCTCTGTAAACAGGTGGTGGTTGGTGAGGGGCACCAGAGTCTTATCCCTGAGCTGTGGAAGCTGGGGTTCTAGGAGGATATGGGATCAACATTGTGAACAGTGTTAGGAAGGAAGTTTGAGTGTGTGTCTGTCATTGTGATGACACTTTTGAACTACAACAAAAAGACAGGTTTCCCTTGTGGTGGGGCACAGATCTGAGCCAGTGCAGGGAATGGTGGGTGATGTCTGGGGTGTGTTTCAGCCTGTGCACATCTGAACCTCTCTTTCTGGAGCTCGTACACAATGAAAGTAATGACCTCTGCAACCTGGAACAGAGGCCCTGCGCTTTGGAGCAGACTGTAGAGCAGATTGTGGCTGATCCAGCATTGTCCTGTATCTGTGCACTTCTGTTCTCCCTTCCAGGAGCTATCTGCTCTTCCCGGCTGTACTGAGTTTAACTGGGAAAGGTCAGTGGTTGTAGCCTTGGGTCTTATTAATGGAGTCTTGAGTGTGGCCAGGGTGCCCTCCTTTCGTCTGCAGAGTTACCTCAGGGACAGCTGATTAAGCAGCCTGGCACAGTGTCTGTGGTGATTTATGGTCTGCTTCAGCCTGGGAGCTGAGCTC